TCGGAATTTGAATTTTCCGCACTCTGATTTTATGGCAGTAGCGAACTCTGAAATCGATCTTTTAAATACTTTACTTTGCATATGCAAACTTTTGCAATCAATTTCCTCAAGCAAGTAACCATAAATTAAGCTCAGAAAACTTTATTATTTTTGGTACTGACTTGGGAGCAACGTGAAAGTGAAGATATCTGTATCACAATGAAATTATAACAAGAAAAAACGTTAACTTCGGTTACACCGAAGCTATAATACCCTTCACAAATACAAAGGTCCCTTACATGAACTTGTTTCCGAACGTTCAATTTGTAGGGCAGCTATATGATATAGTGATTTGATCTGACCAATTTCTGCGGAGAATAATTTGTTGCCTTAAGCAAGAACTCGTGTCTAATTTCGTGAAGATACCTCGTCAAATGAAAGAGTTTCCCATACAAGCACTAGATTCCGATTGTTTAGATTGTATGGCAGCTATACGGTATAGTCATCCGATCTTTACAATTTCTCTGGATATTGGAATAATGCCTTAAATAATGATACGTGCCAAATTTCGTGAAGATATCTCGACAAATGAAAGAGTTTCCCATACAAACACTTGATTCCGATTGTTCAGTTTGTATGGCAGCTATATGCTATAGTGGTCCGATATCGGTCGTTCCGACAAATGAGCAGCTTCTTTGTGAGAAAAGGACAGGTGCAAAATTTCAGATCGATAGCTTAAAAACTGAGGGACTAGTTTGTATATATACAGACAGACGGACAGACAGACAGACGGACATGGCTAAATCAACTCAGCTCATCATGCTGATCATTTATATATATATTTAATAGGGTCTCCGACGTTTCCTTCTGGATGTTACAAACTTCGTGGCAAATTTAATATACCCTGTTCAGGGTATAAAAACTTATGTTGTCAAGTAACATAACCCCTCGCGGATCCGCCACTGAAAATAATGAAGACGTATATAGGGAGGGATTATCTTCATATATTCGTTATATTCCCATTTCGGAGACTTTGTCAATTGTATTCGTATACAAATTTCATATTATCCGGCTCATCACTCTAGAAGTAAGGTTGCTTGAGTTTAACTTAGAGTGCAACACTGTAGATGTTCAAGCTTTGAAAAGATATGTTTTTCTTCCCCATCGATAATATCCACTAATAACAATGAACATTAGAAACGCAATTAAGCATCTGATTTGCACTAGCACGAGCTCAAGCTGGAGTATGTTATCCACTGCAGCATCATTGAGGCTTATTTGCGCACACATTTGGCGACTCGCTTAATTATCACCAGACCAATTTTATCATCAAAAAGCGATTTGTCTGGCATATTGTTGCAGTAAACGGTACACAAACAACACATATGGGAGCGTGTTGTTGCAACATTGCAAGCGATTCGTCATGCTGCGTCGCGCACGCAGTATAAAATAATAGCAAAAACAAAAGCAAAATCAACGGAGCCCAGGTGGGGGATAATTGCTACAAATTCTGAAATGTCATCGGTACGAAGGCGATTTGTACCAACTCCACACAAACGACGGGCGCGTTAAATATGTGATAAGCACGATTAAGCAAAGCAACGCCGACGTGCAACACGCTACGATGACACCGAAGGCGAAAGGTTGCCGCTAGCTTTGTGGTTTGGTGGTTTGAGCGATATGGCAGGAGGTGTGACAGTGTTGAGATTTACACAATTGATGCTTAATCAACGTCATTGCGGACACATGTGACGCGCATTTCCAAAAACACAAGGCGGAATGGCGACTATATATAAATTAGTAAATGATTTGTAAAGGAGCTGCAACAATAAGCTCTTGCAAGTGAGATAATGTACTTATGTACATATGTGCAATGGGAAGGCAGAGAGAGGAGCTCGATTTGCGAGAGAAGATTGCATAGGTTTGAAGCAGAAGTGGAAAATGAAAACTGCTACTGCAGATATGTATGTACATATGTATATATGTAAGTTTTTATATAAATGTTCATACATATTTAGATAGATAGTAGATCACATGCATTTAACTTTACTAACTTCCACATTCACTTAAAAACATTTAATCCCCATTTTCCCATTTCTTATATTGGAAATTCTTTAAACCAGCCTTACATGTGGGTGGGGCTATGGCACGTGTACGAAAATTCCACATGATTGTATGTTCATATGTTTGCTGCACCCCTTCCGCATTTTAGTTGTGAATTTATTACTGTTTCTCGGCTATTTCGCAAGCGCTTATCAGCTCTCCAAATCTCTTTAAACTCAGTAGGCAGAAAAAATATGAAGCTTATCAGCTCATCTGTAAATGTTATATAAGTATATATATTTATATATATATATGTACATGTGTACCATTATATACTTACCTTATACTTATGTAAGTGTATAATTCGCAGTTTTTTGTAAGTTATTCCAAAAATGGATTTCTATAATTAACATAACATAGGTATGTTCCCAAATATAAATATATACATACACACATTCATATATGTATATGCCTATGTTCGTGTTCATATACAAATAACTTAAGTATAAACTTTAATCGTATAATTTTTTAAAAATATTATATTATACACTTGCAACATTTTGCTACAGCAACTAGTTATTATACTCTGTATACAGAGTATAATAGTTTTGTTCACCTAACGGTTGTTTGTATTACCTAATAATAATCGAGATAGATATGGAGTTATATACATATAAATGATCAGGATGAAGAGACGAGTCGAAATCCGAGTGACTCTCCGTCCGTCCGTCCGTCTTACCCTCTGTGCAAAGGATAACTTGAGTAAAAATTAGGATTTCTTACTGAAAATTGGTACACGTGCCTAGGCCAAAAAGTGAGAACAAATGTGTAGATGGGCGTCATTAATCGTAAACCTTTAAAATGCCATAACTAAGCACTTAATTAAGATATAGATCTGTAATTTGGTAGAGGAAATTACAGTAACAAGGGACACCTGTCGTCAATGAATGAGCGTCGCCCTGCTCTTTAATAGGTTTAATGTACATATCTCCCACTACCACTAAAGCTATAATAACCAAATTCGCTAGGAACAAATCACATAGGAAACCCTTATCGACAGTGTAAAAATAGATGAAATCGCATTATAACCCAGTCCTCTGCCGATATAACGATTTTGTTAAAAACTAGTAAAAACGCGATAAATCAATAATTAACGCGCCAGAGACATAAAATTTTTCACCTAAGATGATACAAGACGACCATAGAGGAGCTAATGTCAAATTAAGTCAATGAGCGTCGCACCACCCCAGCTACCGAATGTGTGGACCCCAGTTCCTTTGGCGAACTTTTTATCGAAAATCTTGGTCAATCTTTGAAATACATTATTGAAATTCGGAAAAAGTCTTTTCCTGAGTGTTTTTCTAATAATGGTGCATCTTTGTGCCTAAAATGGATTAAATCGGGTGAAAACTTGGCCTAACTGATATTCAGGATTTTGAAACATTCAGCTGGCTTTACTCCTTATATTGGCGATGGTAAGTGACCTAAATGAAACTCAGAGACACTCTTTTTCTGTTAATAATATTATATGTCGTAAAGCCAAAAATATAGTAAATAAAATCAGGTCAATACTACCTCCTATATGCGTAATACGTAACGCAAGTTGCAAGAGTATGAAATGTTGGGTTAGACCCGAACTTACCCCTTTCTAACTTGTTATTATTATTATTAGAAATCATATTACAATAAATACTAGTTACTCCCTGAACAGACTATATTAAGATTGATTAATTATGATCGATTGATTGAGTGATTAATGATTGGCTGTTTTTTGTATTAATCGCTAGTTTGCATTTACGATGTAGAGAAAAAAAGAGCGTATTAAAAAAATTTTCAGGATGCAATTCTTTCGTCTAAAAATGAAACCTTCTGGAGGACGATATGATAAAATATCTGCTGAACACCACCTTCTCAATTTGAGAATTTTCGAATACAAAATTTTTGAATGTTCATTTATAATTTGGCGAAAACTTAATAAACGAATGCCAGACAACGTAGAGAGGCCGACTTGTGATTTCATTTAATGACCAAGTAATCGGACCTAAATGATTTGGCAATTCATCGTAGTTTAATTTTCATTTACAAAAGCGTAACCGCAATGTTAGAGGAAATATGGAATAAAAAATTCGTCTTGCGCCATAACCAAACCGACGCTTACTTTGAATTACAGCAGCGACTTTTTATAAATTTAGCTTCTGAAATGTGACAACTATCTTTTAAATAATCAAAATCGTGTTTCCTAAGTGCCTAAGTGTTTCTTTAGACCATATACCAACTTTGGTTGCACCGAAGCTATAATTCCATTCATAAATACAAAGCTTCCTTACAATAGATATATATATATCGTAATCCGATCTGAAAAAATTCTTTGGAGATTATAGTGATGCCTTGGATAATAATCTCTGCCATATTTCTTGAAGATACCGCATCATATGAAAAAGTTTTCTACACAAGCACTTGATTCCGATCGTTTAGTTTGTATTGCAGCTATATGTTATAGTTTTTCGATATCGGCGGTTTCGAAAAATGTGCAGCTTCTTTGGGAGAAAAAGACGTGTGCAAAATATCAGACCAATATATAATATCAAACACTGAGAGACTAGTTCGCGTATGTATAGACGGGCGAACAGACAGACGGGCATAGCAAAATCAACTCAACTCATCACGCTGATCATTTATGTATATATTTTATAGGGTCTCCGACGTTTCCTTTCACAACATCCTTGTGTGTCACAAACATCGTAGCAAACTTAATATATCCTGTTCAGGGTATAAAAAGTTACACCTAGAATGTTGGGATCTTAGCCAATGTACCGTATATAAGGATTACTCTTCTTCCTGGTAAATTTTGAGGGATTTTTAAGAAAAGCTAGTAAAAATGTTTTACTCTGTATCTTTTCTTAGTACCTATGTATATAATAAATGAATATATTTGCAAATATTTAATTGATACGAATAACAAAAGTATTTTTTTTCAGATATATTTGCAGCAAATTAATTACTATTTTACCAGGTTCCAAGCATTTCCAAGTAAGTTGTTATTTTCAATTGCCTTGCAGTGTAGGTATATTTGTAGACATACTTACGAGTATATGAGTATCAGTGATCGCAACCGTACGATAATTATCTTACATATGCGATAATTTCATGCCTACGTACGATGTACGATATGATATCATTATCGTACGCAGATTGTACGATAATTTTCATTATGATTCATTAAAAATGTATCTTATTTCTACCCTCGCAGACAATTGGGCGATTTTTTTTTATAGGAAAAAAGAGGAGAAGGCGCGAGCTCTTGGCTCTTACTGCTAGCAAATATTTCTTCTGTCTTTTTGCTCACAACGCCATCTACTGGTTCGTTCAACGAACAAATAATATCGATATTGTGGTTTGATTTCGATTATGTTCAGACTTCACAGACTTTGCATATTTAGTGTTCGAATGTTGGTTGTTATTCTTGTTATTGTATTAAGCTAACGTTCTCGCGTTCAAGATTTAAAATAGTAATTCGAAAAAAACTGTAACTGGAAGCTCAACGCGAATATGCTTCTATATTAAATGATTGTGTTTTTATATTAATGAGTAAGTATGTCAATCGAAAACTTTAATTCATTGGCTATAAACTATATATAAACTATCATTTTCACTCTGTAGCTGTAAAGTGAAAAATAAGTTCTTTACGTGAAGATTCCGAAGAAATAAATAATACTAAACCAACTGATGTTGATTTGGACATTTCACCTCCAAGAAAAATTGCAACAATTAGCAATAATTAAAATAATTATAGTCATTATTTTTAAAAGTACGATAATTTCGTTTCATGTACGATAATTCTACGCTACTGGTACGATAATCGCCTCACTTCAAGGTGTGAACACTGATGAGTATATAGCTAGAAATTTAATGGTTCAGATCGTTTCGCTAAATTTTAACTCCTCGCAAATGTGTTCAACACTCTCTGAAGCGCAAACATTTTATTATACTCTGGCAACCTGTTGCTACAGAGTATAATAGTTTTGTTCACCTAACGGTTGTTTGTATCACCTAAAACTAATCGAGTTAGATATAGGGTTATGTATATATAAAAGATCTGGATGAAGAGACGAGTTGAAATCCGAGTGACTGTCTGTCCGTCCGTTCGTTCAAGCTGTAACTTGAATGAAAATTTCTGGGTACCGTAAGACGGTTGGTATTGCAGATGGCCGTAATCGAACCACTGCCACGCCCACATAACGCCAATAATCACAAACAAATAAATTGTCATAACTAAGCCCCACAGCAAGATACAAGTCTGTTATTTGGTATAAAGCTATAAAAACAAAATTCACTGAGAAAAAATGTTTTTAGCATCTCTTTAGACTTCAATCAAGCACAAAACACGTCAGAGACATTCAGTTTTATCTTTGGGATGGTATGAGATGACTTTATAGGAGTTCCAAATTAGACAGTGGGTGTGGCACCACTCACTTTTAGGTGAAAAAACATATCTTGGGATCTGCTTTACCGATTTTAATCAAATTCGGTACATAAGATTCTTCGTATATTTCCATGTTATAGTGCAAAGATGAGCGAAATGGGATTACAACCAGGCCATATAACACCATTTTAAATTCTATCTGATTCTTTCACTTGCCACTGTACAAATCAAGCAACAATGATTGTATCGGCTTAAAACTTTGCGTGAATAATGCGTTTAAATTATGCCACTATACTTGTGACCAAATATTGTCTAATTCGAACCAAAACTCTTCAAACCCGAGGTACTGAATATGTGGACCCTAATGCCTATATTTGACCTTTTACCGAAAATATCGATCAATGTGTAAGATATATAATTGAAATTCATATAATAAAATAAATAAATGAAACTCTCGATAATAGTATGTTTTTGTTGCAAAAATGGGTTGAATCGGATCAATATTTCCTTTATTATAAAATTTTGCCAACACCTGAAGTAATTTCCCGGGCTTTGATCCTTGCAAGTTGCGAGAGTATAAAATGTTCGGTTACACCCGAACTTAGAACTTCCTTGCTTCTGAAGTCCTTAGCCGACTGGAGTTAGATAAAAAAGCGCAGAGGATATGTCAAAGTAACTATCTAACTTTCAAAGGCCTTTCAACATACAAATATTCACAACTCTGTGACTCCAAACGGCTGTGGCTGATAGTGTTGTTGTGGGAAAGTACGCCTTTTCCACCCAAACGGTACTTTGCCGTTTGGCAGTGCCAGCAGCTGCGATGGTGTCAAAGTACATTTTTCAAATGTTTTTTCGGGTTCTCAACACATAAACTTATATAACCCACATATGTGGAAATGCATACATATACCATAAATATATATATTTATACATGTATACTAGTATGTCTATATGTACTCGTATGTGTATATTCGCATTATATCTTACATTTGCGCGAGTATTAGGCGTCGATTTCGAACGGAAGCGGATGTGTGTGAATTGCGGTTACACAATCGGATGTGAATACGGTTGTGGTTGTTGTCGGTCGTTTGTCGCTGGCAATTGAAGTAAGTGATAGTGGCGCAACTTTTTATGTGCGTGGCTTGAGGGTGAGGGTGTTATGTGGCGGAAAGTGGTAATTGTCGCTTCTGTGAATTTCAGCTCCACTGCCCTTGTTGCACTGCTTTTGTTTGTGTGTTGCTTTTTAGTTTCCAAAACGATTTGCAGTTCTTTGTTGTTGTTGTCTTTTTTGTTTCTGCGCCATTTGAGATTTTTAAAGCGTATCTAGACAAGTTGTAAATTTGGCGATTAACATCCTTTTTACACACACGCAAGTAATTTTCCTTTACTTTTATTTTTTTGAAAGAGTTGTGTGATATCCCATGTAGAGATAAAAATAGTGAATGAGTAATATCCAGTTAGAATATACATATTATATTTGGATACTTTTCGTATTTGGTTTCAGAATTTGGAAACTATTGGTACTGTGCATAAACTGATATTTCAAGATCGTCATGTGACCTATTGTCGTGAGATTGCATTATTGCAACCATCATGCATTCAATATTGCGTGAACATTTAACTGTAAAAAATTTGTTTTCGTTGGATCCCACAAAATTTGTCAATTGCCCAAATTCGATACCGGTGCTTCGAAACGCGGCTATGACAGGTGATGAATCGTGGATTTACGCGTATGAGACCGAAAATACCAGCAGTCGGCTGTATGGGTATTTCAAAGTTGAGCCGAAAAAACTTGACATGTCAAAACCAAACTACTAGAACAGCGCCAAATTCTGAGTGGAAATCAGGAAAAGCAACCGCCGAAGACTGAATACTCGTCACCACGACAATGCGAGCTCTCACAAAACATTGATTTGATGCGTAATTCGCCGTATAGTCCTGACTTCGGACCGGATTACTTCTTTTTATTCCCTTACCTAAAAAATAAACTAAGAGGTCAATGTTTTTCGACACCTGAAGAGTCGGTTGATTCGTTCGGAATGCATGTTTTTAAGATACCTCAGTCAAAGTGGAAAAAGTGCTTCGACATATGGTTCAAATGCAAAAGTCTATAGATCATAATCGTAAATATTTTGGAAAATAAAAAACGACTACCGATTATTGATATTTGTTTATGGTTTTCAATCCCGAAAGATAAAAGGCAGTATTCGTAGTATAAGCTAAACAAGCACCAGCAATTGGTTGACGCTTGAAGAAGGCGTCATTTACAGCAAAGACAGCCGAAAAAATATGTTTTACCCCACTTTTAAGATATGATAAAGTTTTTTAGCTTTAGCACTTTTATCAAAAAAAAAATAATAATATGGGGGACCAAGAATCATATTAACTTAAAGACCGTCTGAAGACGCTGCCCATTAGATTGCTTTTACTAAACTTTTTTCGTAACTATCAGTATTTTTTATACTAGTATTATATTATTGTTATATACCATATTATTATTATAAAAATCTTAGCTCCAACATTTTCCAATCATTTAAGTTCCTTTTTCAATATGATGACTAATATAATATTACTGCTAAAAACAATAAGAGTACACTCGAGTTGCCACAGATGATTCCCGCGGCATTTAATATTCGGGCGGCAGGGGTTTTGGAATGCAACAACCCAAAAGAAACATTAGCATAAAACACCAACAAACATTGTGGAGGAGCCCGCACTAAAGTCACTCACTGCACGGCAATTCATGAATAAAACATTTAGTTTGAGTTGCAGCATTTTTGATGTCATTGTGATCGCCAATGGGCGCATTGTTGCTAGTGCGCCGATACATATTGTTTTATGGACGCGGTTGATACATGTTAAATGATGGAGAAGCGTTTACAAACTTCCTTACAAGTTTTAGCAAGTAACTCCTTTTATTTGCTCCATCAAACATTTGTTGTGATCCAAAAGTTTGGATGTTGTATTGTTCTTTCTGGTCTACTTGCCAGCCACATTGGCGGCGGCAATGATGTGGGAACCTGAAATATTTTTATATACACATACATACTTGCTTACATACAAATAAACTTGCACATCGCAGTTGTTGTTGGTGGTATGGTTGTATGGTGTTCATAGACTGCGCCTGGCTATTGCTGCGGCTGCTGTGGCTGGTGTCGACTTTTGCATTATTTCGAGAAACAATTCAAATTGCGCCATCATATGTCGCTCTGTAGGCCATCGTCAATGAGCTCGGCTCGCATTACACTCAACTCTTTCGCTCTTATGCGCTTTTCTTGCTTTATAACTGCTTCTTGGTCGCCTACGGTAGATGTTTATTAACAGCAATAAATCAGTTTACAGACGCTACCGAAGCACTTGGCTAGTTGGTTTATTGCTCTGCGACTTGGTTACACCTTTCTTCGCTGTAAAAATACTTATAACATATGGGGGATATATATATACATACTTGAGAATGATAACAATATGCAACCTAAAGCAAACATTTTTACTTTTGGGCAGACGTCCTGAAAACATGTTTCGGTGAACTTGTTTTTGAACTTAATTACGGCAAACACCGTTCTTTGAAGCTTTCATTTTATTCAAATAATAATAAATAATACAGCCAGAACATTACGCAGAACATCTATAAGTCTCGTTAATAATTAGGTTCCCCAAATTTATAGATCAGTAAAGGGAAAATGGTGGCGACTGAAATAAGTTTTCCATAATAAGAAAATGTGGGATAATACTTTAAGAGCAATTTTCAAAATATAGCATTCACAGCATCTATTCTCTTTTCGCGTTTAATTATTTCTTTAAATAACATTCGAACATGTGGAAGTTAAGTAAACTCGCAGATTCCTAGGGAGTGTTAGTAGTTTCATCGTATGTTGTCGTCATAAAGACGACCAGTCTTCTAATCCTCACTAAATTATAAAGATTATTAAAACATATTGTCCAACAAGAATCAAGAAGAAGACCAGTTTAAGTAAACTCAAAGCAAATAAGAATTCCTTAGGAAGCAAAATTGTACATTGAGTTTCATGGCTGGCATTTTCATAAAATATTGTATTACTCGTCTCTAAGTAGACATATTTATACATTTCAGTTGTGGCTGTTAGTAGACCTGAAAGAGTAAAATCGTTAATGTTACGCCGGTACTTTTATTCCGAACGGAATGAGATTAGATATAAAACAACAAATATTTATAAAATCCAAATATTTCTTATCATGGTTTAGAGTCTAAATTTTAGAACGATAATATTGGTGTAAAGTATTTAAGGCTAGGTGATATAAGTTTTGATGTTTTCTAAAAAAATTAAAAAGTTAAAATCGAATTCCGGGAATAATAGCAATCAACAGATTTATATAGTAAAATGATTGAATAATTTACAACGTGAATTTTGTTACTTTCGTTTCCTACATATTAAACACTCCCTAGTTTAAAAACGGTTGTGAGAAGTACTTCCCAATATTTATATAGCCAACATATTACGTTATACAGTAAACAAGAACAAATTCGTTTTTATCGTTGATTTTTAAAGTTTAGAAGTATGGTTGATTACTCAGATCACATGACATTTATATCCCGTTACAATTTATATGAAATTGTTATGCAAATTTTTAAAATTTACTAAGCTGCATCTTCCTATTCCTTCGCTTAAGTGTATCATATCTTAAAAACCTCTCCTCTCTAGGTCTGTAATCTTAATATTAGTCTATCAATATCTTAAATATTTCTGCAATTTGTTGCTTTCTTATTTCATGTAAATTCGAGTAAATTCATTATTTTATACTGTTAGATGAATCTGAGCTTATGTATCACTATATGGTTTCAGAAACGAAATATTGTGGTCATGAATTCTCAATTTTTTTGTTTTGTGCATTCTCATGGTTAAGTCAGGTTAAAATTGCAGTTCAAAACCTGGTACGGACTAAAATTTCTGAACATGAAGAAAAATGCTTTGCTTTCAAATTTGCAAAGCAACTTCCTGCGTCTGAAAATCAAAGAATAGAACAATAATACTAATTATAAATGGATTCCGAGCAATGCCATAGAATCTACAACTTTAGAACGCATTGAACATATCAATGCTTAGTTTGAGACGTCACGTTTTGTTTAGAAATTTTATCATTTTACTTAGCCCTGTCATAAGTTTTGTTTTCACACAAGGTTTCGAACGATTTGATCATTAATCAAAAACACCACCCACAGTTTATATTCGTATTGACGACGCTGCTCGACTCAAAGATTTTTTGACTGCTGCTCGATTCTAAGACATGTGATGTTCTCCACCTCTGACCGCAAACTGTAATCCAATGGATTCAAGTCTGAATTTCATATTGCTCCCCTACTCCAATGTTAATAAGCGAAAGCAAAATTAACTGATTATTATATATAAGTAAACAGTGCATATAAATTATAATAAAAAACAACAAAAAACTTTTACTTCGGCTGCACCCAAGCTATAATACCATTCACAAATACAAAGGCTCCTTACAAGAGCTTTATTCCGATTTTTCAGTTTGTATGCTATAGTGGTCCGATATCGGCCGTTCCGACAAATGAGCAGCTTTTTTGTGAAAATAGGACAAGTGCAAAATTTCAGAACTATAGCTTAAAAACTGAGGGACTAATTTGTATATATACAGACAGACATGGCTAAATCAACTCAGCTCATCATGCTGTATATATAAATGTATATATCTTATAGGGTCTCCGAAGTTTCCTTCTGGGTGTTACAAACTTCGTGGCAAACTTAATATACCCTGTTCAGGGTATAATAACAGCACGTTTTTATGTGAATTTGTCCTCGCTGTATGCATTGTAATCTTTGTAACTTTGCTTTTATGGAATTTATGGCAAGTAAATGTTCGCTCTCCTTATACTTTCTATAAGATATGACTTTTAGTATGTAATATGTATCTTTTTTGGTTTTTACATGGATCTAAATAACAATTGCTACTTCCGCAAGATCCATCAAAGTTTATTATTTTCGGTCCGTAATTAGAAAAAAACAGTTTAACATCTAATTTCGTGCACAACTTTCTACTTTTTCTTCAATGCCGGAAACTATTTTTTCACTCAGTTGCACTTAACACATTTACCTTAAAATGATTCCCAAATTTGTGCTAAATTTGTTTTCATACATCTTAAACTTTTTAAATATTTGCTAGTGCATATTTCCGCTAAGTATATGCTGTGCAGGCCCATGCTATATAATGTAGCACTTAGGCGTACATTTTTAACGGTTCAGCGCGTCTCTCGTACACACTCGAAATCAAATTGTCGCGTTGAAAATCTTCAAGAATTTTCAATTCTGCCCGAGAGTCTTATCACCGCTACCTTTTCACACACCCCGAGTGAGCGGCAGGCAGCAAAAGTGTAACAGCGGAACAAACTGCGCTGGATTGTCCTTGCGTTTGCTGCGCCTGAATGCGTCAATGCGTCAGTGGCTGCCGTAGGCTGCGGGTAAATGTGCAAACTTCTTTCATTTCGTCTTTCTCTTTTTTCCTATTTCAGCATCAATCACTTTTTTCAGTAGAAATATACTTTTTCATACTGTTGCACTTACTTGGAAAAATAATCATTTTTATATCCTCGAGCAAAGAATCACAGAAAATGAAATTTGGTTAACCATTTCGTTTGGCAGAGCGAAAAGTTTATTTGCGCCTATCGGAGATGAGCTCATTTCCTGATTAAAGTTACGGAAAAATGATACTATCATGTTGATGGGTAAATATCACCATACCACCAACAACATGAGTATGTGTGTATTATAACGATTTGCCATGAGTTAAAAATCTATTAAAGTTCACGAATTATTAAGAAAGGTTATGGATGAGATTACAAAAATATGTGTTCAAATGTTTTAAGATAAGAATATAAGGGTATATACATATACACTTATATAAAAGAGTAAGCAAAAAAAACCTAATAGCGAATTTATGGGTAAAAATTAACGTACATAAATATATAAAGAGAAACTAAAAGACAAAGATTTGAGCCACATCTCCGTGAATTTGAAATTCATTTTGTTTTTTGCGTAACATCTATACTTAGATTTAAAAGACAAATGTGATGTAACCACAACGCTCTGCATGGTTGTTACACTCTTACCGATATTGACTCTCTGAAATGATTATATTTACATATATTATTTACATATATGGTATACACAGCTATGTACATATATTTTGTACTTTTGCAGCTCTAATAAATTTGGCGATTTATAGTGGGTGCTCACATGAAAAATCAATCAACTGTGGTGCAACCGAAATGTGCGCCAATAAACCCAGAAAAATGTTAAACAAATCACTTGAACAAACGGAAAAGCCAGCAATCACACAATTAAACAAACAACATTGATTTTAGCAAAAAGATCAGCTACTATGATTTCTGCTTTCGTGGCACATTGTAAAAAAATATGAAATAAAAGACTCTGCTCCATCTGGTTATATATTAATGCGGCAGTAGAAGTGGTTGCTCTCACTCTGCGACCATTGTTGCATTAATTTCCCCTCTTCCACAGGGTAGCCACGCCCAAACGCTGGTGTGAAGTATATAATTACGCACACATGCAAAAGTATCAGCTTTGGTACTGTTAACTTAAGTATCTCATATGCGCTCTCCCTCTTACGCACATTCTTATTGGCTGCTGCCATAAACCAGTTTCTGAACATAAGCAGTGGATACGAGGTGTATAGAATATGCAAGAAAAAGTAAGAGAGTGGAGAGTGTGTACTATATACTCCACACTCCAGCGAACACCATTTCGGTCACACCTGCGATCTGTGCTGCCTTGACGCTTCTGCATTTTGAGCGTATAATGAACACACTTGAGCCCAGCGTCGAGCCATTTCAGTGGCCCTTATTTACCAAGATGGGAGAAGCTCGTCATTTCTTTTTGTTATTTTTATTTACCTGCCTTTCTTTAATTTGCTTTGCTAGTTTTAAAGAAGTCAAGAGTTGTTTGTGTTAATTGTGTGCAGTTGTTGTAGTTGTCTTCATTTATTTTGCAGCCTAAATGTTGATAGCTCAGCGAAGACTCCTGATTTCATTGTTGTTTTGGTGAAGGAATGATGATTTCTCACTTCATTGAATGGCTGTGCAAAACTATTGGTATATGGGAAGGAATATTTATAAACATACGTACATATATAACTGAAGAATGAATATTAATTTTTGCTATCATAATTTATTGAAATGTACTTAATGGTTGCACGACCACAAATATGGGAGAGAACATAAAAATTAAAAATAACAAAGTGATTTATAAACCATTTGTTTTGAAGGAAAGATGTATGAGTTAAACAAGTCAATGTTAGGAAAAGTATTTACAAGCTTTGATTTTTGAGAAAAGTATGTATAAGTGCTATGTATGTAATAATTAAATACTTATCTCGGGTTTATAGGTAGAATTTATAATATTATTTTAAAAAGATTTCGGAGGTTATTTCCCCCGGGCGCCGTATTCTCGGAGGGGCAACAAACTACATTTATTTTGCGTTATATCCGCTCGATGCTGAGAAAAGAGTCTACTACATAGAGGAACGTATTCTCGCTTTTGTAGATTATCATGATAAAACCGACAATGCTATTGCCGCTTTAATTTACAAAACATTGGAAAAGTATAAAATTTCTGTGGAAATATCCGTGAGGGCTACTATAATGGTAATATTGTAATATGAACTGTAAATATGAAGGAGCGCACAATCTCGTCTAACGTAAAAATTATGCAGTTCTTTTGCCCAGTGGTGCCCATACGCTGAATTTTGCTGGAGTCGACTCGGCTGAATGCTGTCCTCGAGCAATAGCGTATTTGGCTGAAATCCAAAATACCCAACTCAATTCCATGCATTTATAATGGGGGTCAACCAGAATCCTGGCATTCAAACCATTTGCGAAAAATCTTCCCGGATTGATAAACGCTTTGAATGAAGTTAAAAAACTCAACCTTATGGCAGAAACTCGTCGGGACGTTGGGGGAATTTTGAAATATATTAGCAAATTGTGCGTTTTGATGTCCTCCATATGGTTTAAAATCCTCCAATCAATCAATGATACTTGTATAAACTTGGTTCTTCAAGAGATCAATGCCACCACCGACGCTGAAGAATATATATAGAAAGCCTTATGCTGGATTTGCAATTTCTGCCCAGTTTTTCTCTCGGCGGCCCTGAGTACACTGTACCGTAGTGTAGAACGTGATAATGATCGAGAAAAGCATCCAGAAGAAACATTGTTGCAGAACTGAAAAAAAAGTATTATTTTTTAATTGATGTTGACCGCTGGGAAGTCTGCAGGAGCTAATTTTAAATTATAACATTACATACCATTATTGTTACTAAATGAAACTAATTCATAATGGAGACAATTACAGGAGAAAAAACTCTGCAAAATATGTTTGCAGAGCACCGGGTCCGTCCCGAATCAGTACATATGTATAATTTGCTAAAAACAAGAGCGTAATCATAATCGTATATATGTCTATGTTTGGAACTATCCATATCCCGACTTTTTAAAAAATCAGTCAAAAAAGTAGTACAAAAATTGTTTTTTCTCAGGCAGTTGCCGAGTCTCCAATTTTTTTTTGTTTCATAGGAAGGTTGAAATAGGTATGGTCACGTGCCAATTTTTTGAGACCCACACTACTTCAGCTGATAATTTTTTACTTTTTAATTTTCATGCTCTTGCAACATGTTGCTACAGAATATAATAGTTTTGTTCACCTAACGGTTGTTTGTATGACCTACAAATAATCGAGTTAGATATAAGGTTATGTATATATAAATGATCAGGATGACGAGGAGTGACTATCTGTCTGTCCGTGCAAGCGATTACTTGAGTAAAAATTGAGATATCGTAATGAAACTTAGTATACGTGTTCTTTGGAAAAAAGAAAGGAAGAGTTCGTAGATGGGTGTAATCGGTCCACTGCCACGCCAACAAAACGTCATTAATCGAAAATACATATATAAAATGTCATAATTAAGCACTAAATTTAGATATAAAACTATAACTTGGTACAGGAGATTTCAGTTGCAAAAGGCAGCTGTGGATTAAAAAAATTTTAAAAGTGGGTGTGGCCCCACCCATATAACAGTTTTGTTAAACTAACTAAGAACTATTAAGAGCGCAATAAATAAATACACCAGAGACAAACAATTTTACTCCGGAGATGGTACTCGACGGCTTAATAGGAGTCGATGTCAAATTTCGACAATGGGCTTGGCACCCCTCACATTTAGGTGAAAATCGATATCTCAAGACTTACTCGACCGATTTCAACCATATTCGATATGTAATATTACTCTGACATTCCTATATTACAGTTTGAAAATAGTTGAAATAAGTCAAAATCCACGCCTACTTCCTATATTACACAATTTTAATCTCGGGGCTTAAGTATCGCGAATTTTGAATTTTCGCGGGTTACGTGTATCTTCACCGATATCTACTTACCTGATAGCGTGTGCATTATATCTAGGAGTGATTACTTTAAAGTGATTACTTTAAAGGGGAAAAAATACATACATACATATATATTCATGAATAAATAGACACTTTTTTAGAAATACAAAATTCGCAATACTTTTTGAACAAACTTCGTATCTGTTAAACAAAATACGCTGTAAAATATACTTTTAAAAATATATGTAATATAAAAATGTTATGAAGACCTAGCACTGATATTAACTTATACTTTTACATTTTTTTATTAATTGCCAAGTTACTGTTAAACTTTAACGGGGTAAGAGGGTATGATTTACAATTTTTTTATTTTGTATTTATTTTTCATTTTTTAATAAAATAAATAAAATTAATATATTGCGTCAAAACTTCAAGTAAATAGGAGCAAAATTGGCGAAGTTACAAGTTCTTTTATACCTGTCTTATGAACGTTTTACATCTAATTTCAAACCTTTAAAACTTTTTCCCCACAACTCACTCTTTTAAAGCCTCACTCATAACTTCAAAACTACTACACCGGTCAAATTTTAAACACTATTTACGTACATAATTTACCCCGGAGAGCCATTTTAAAATTTTTTAACTATTTTTATTTTACAATAACAAATTAGCCGATTTTTTTGCAAAAAAATTACAAATTTAAATTGAAAAACCCTCTCGGCGTTATCTGTGGAAAACCCTAAACTTATTACCTAACGAATGAACCTTGACATTTTAGTTTTGGATAATACAGCACCAAGTTATGAGGATCACCGCAATCCTCATTTTTTCCGAGTCACGTTGAATTAATTGCTGCTATTGCCGTATTTTTTAATATTTCCGCATGAAAATCTTCTACAACATTATTCGAAAGTCACGCTTTAATGTAAATTTTAACTTTGACTTTACAAACAATTCACAAAAAAATGCGTGTTTTTGAACGAATTAACGTTAGCAATTGATGGGGCTATTCTGCTAAGAATTTGAAACCCCAGCGTGCGATGAATGCTTCCTTCGGTGAATTTAAAATAAAATTCTTCATCTGAATAATCAAAGAGAAATAACTCTAGAGCTCTGCAAAATAACTGATACTACGTGGAGTCTATATTACTGCAGAACTCCAAAGCGAATTTGTGATTGTGAATCAACCGAAATATAAGTTTGGACACTCCAATATTTTCTGGATCTCTTTATCACATTGTGTTTTGAAAGTTCCAGCGTGGAGAAATTGATAACTTGTCTATCTGTAGTCGATTATGTTTTTTACCAAAACCAAAAAACTTAGTAAGGATATTTCTAATCACTCGATTTCCTATGACATCCAATCATCATTTACACTTGATAATAATAAAATATGGAAAATAAAGCATAAAAAGTCAAAATTACAACTCTACAAGTTAAATCTTATATATGGATTGATTTCGATAATTTTTATAGAACAGAGTTGCCAAATTATATTGTTACCATATACTTTGTTTCAAAATCTTCATTAACACCTGAGTTATTCATTGTAAAGTAGAGACGCTGAGGGGATTTAAAATGATGTTCTATAGAAAATTGAAGTGATTGTTGCCGATTTGCCATTTTCCAAAGAAGGAACGGGATGTAGAACTTTAAGTCATTGTACGGGCATAAATATTTATACATTGCTTTTAGTCGATATGTAGACTAATATGCCGATCATTTAGTATGATTTTATCTATGTATGGTATTTATATACCAAAAATTTGATGTTTTCTTGTCATAAGAATTCTTAATATTGATATATATATTTTTTTTGTTTATAAAAATGTTTGTTTATAATACTTTTTGTGTATAACACAAACTTCAGTCTTGAAATGAAAAACACAATTTGGTTTGGCTAAAATTTTTATTTACAAATAAATTATATATACATAAATATATAAATATGCATATGTATATGATTGCTAGAAGCGCAAAATTTTACAAAGGTCTTGATCAAAATTATTCTTATACTAATGTTCACAATACAAATGGATAATTACCTTATTTCATTGCAAAAACTTTACAAAGCTTAGAGAAAAATTAAAAGGTCACTTAATACATATGAATAACCAATTCAAAAAACATGGAACGAAGACAAAACAAAATCAATATCAAATTGGCAGCCATTGTTGGATTTTGCTCAAGTCTAAATCAGTTTTCTTTTATTAGAATAAATAATCTATTTTGGCACAGTTCTAGCCACTTCCTTTAACGCAATTTATAAATAGCATGAATTATTAAGGAAGTTTAGTTAATTTAAAGTATATTTAAATTAAAAAATTTTAATTTTGAATATATTTTTGGGTTATTTCGATTATCTGCTCGTAAAATTTTATGCTTAGTAATATAGTTATGATTTAATTTATTTCAAGACGTGCTGAAGAGCTAAACATATCCTAATTACATAATTAAAGTCATACCAGTGAAATATATCTGTGACAACAGAGAGATCTTGTTGGTAAGACCGGCAAAGTTTAAACTTAGTAAAATATGTAAAATATCTAATGAAAGCGCTTAGAGCAAATGTTAAAAGTTTATAATAAAGGACCAAGTGCTTACAGTAAATAAGAGAAAACAAAAAATTACACGCGTGATGAGCTGTAAGAGCTTTTAACTAGTTGTGGCGCAGTGTACCGTTTATCACCCGCAAAATATCGATTTGTAGGTCGGTGAAAGACACCGGTGACATATTGGCATTGCGTATTTTCATGGCAACTGCTTTGAAGAAGGCGCCGACCTCATCGTCTCCAACAGTGTCGGTCGCTCTTTGATTATCAACTATTGGAAGAGAGGCGGCAGTGACGGACGTGGACGGTGCATGCATTGTGGTGGTGGTCGCTGTTGTTGTCGAACTATTATGCGAACTACTCACCAAAGGCTGTAAATTGATAGCCTCCATGCTGAGTGAGGTGCTAGGGTTTAATATTGCCATGCCACAATTATTGTTGGAAGTCAAATTCGCACTACCGCTATTCACTAAACCACTTGTAAGCGTGTGTTGGGGCTTCATTTCGTTACTAAAATCATGTATTTGTTGCTGCGGCTGCTGTTGGTGTTGTATTTGCATAATACATTTTTCCCTTGCAGTGAGTGTGGCAGTGCTTGTCTTGTCACCAACATCTATAGTAAGCAAATGTTGATGGTGCTGCGTGGTTTGCGATTTTAACTTCAATAACGGTTGCTGATGATGTTGTTGTGATAGGACCAACTGCGACTGTGGTTGCTGCTGCTGTGACGATTGCTGTTGTAGTTGTGCTTGTAATGATACGGCACTTTGTTGTATCATTATGTTACTTTCTTTTATATCTTTAAATTCATGCACCTCCGATTTTACGTCATTTCCGTTATCCTGCTGAGTTGCGCTGTTATTGGCAGTCATATTACTGGTTGAACTTGGCGGATACTCCGTAAAATGTTGATGCGATTTACGGTCTTCCTCGTCGTCTGCAGCTACCATGTCTATGCCGTCGTCATTGGCGCCCGTATCACTCGTATGTCCGATAATGTAATGATCGATGTCCATTTCATCGTAGCCGCCAACACTGCTGCCACTAACAACACACATATCATGCGTTGCTGTATGTAAGTCATGTTGAGTATGTGGACCTGATAGTGTTGGCAATGGCTGCTGTTCCAAATCGTGTTGTACTACTTCTATTGGCGACGGCAATGGCGGACTATCGATGATTTGCTCATCTAAATCAGCGTCTAATTCGGTTTTAGGCAGTTGTACTACATTTTTAGCATCACTCTCGCTGTAAGAAATATTTTTAATATGTTATATTTAAAATACACTCAAATTAATCTAAAAACCACTACCTTGTTTTATGCTTTATAAACTTTTGCAAGAAAGTAAGCGCATCATAATGCTTCCAACGCGGCAATAATTCAGAATGTTCGCGGTCTTTCAGTCGTTTATGTTCTCTGATATATTGATCGCGTAGTGCTTTCCATTTCAAACGACAGCGCCCAACTTTAAAATAAAAACACACACACACAAATATAATAATTGAAATATAATATGTAAGTTCTCAATATAACCTGGCTTTTTTAGTTTGCGTGCAATTTCATCCCAAACTTCAAGTTTCATTTTGGCATTGCGATAATTTGGGTGAAAATTATTATATATTATATCTTCCTGTTGAATCATGTTAATAAGGTCTTTTTCGAAGAAACTTTCTATATTGAGGAACGTGTGTATTGGATCGTCGTCTTCTTCCTCATTGTGTGATTGCGTATGTTGCATTTGCACAATTGTAGACGGTACACTTTCTACCAAAGCGCACAGCATATCATCAGTATCTGAGCGCTGTTGTGTATGTTGTAATAGATTGGTGTCTTCGAGTTCATTAGGACTGTGTTCATTTCCTTCTAAAGTGTGAACATCGCTTGTGTTCGTTGTCGCTGTGAGATAATTCCAGCTTCCACTATGTTGCTGCATCACTGAGTGCAGCTGCTCATCGCTTAATGAGTTTAGCAGACCTGAAGTTGTTGAATCCAGTTTATCTTCTGCACTTAAAACATTGTCGGCGGTGAAATCAGACGCGCTAAATTGACCATGTTCCATTTTAATACTTGGTAGTTTGTTGCCAGCATTCTTTCCGTTTGACCCAGTTGAATTTTCGTTTTTATTTGTGGCGCGCGGTCGATAGCTAATTTCGCAAAATTGAACAATTTAAACGTTTATTTCTAATATTTTTATAACACTAATCTTGTAACAGTTAGTTTCACTAATACATTTGAATATTAATGAATATGTACAAAAGAGAAGAAGATGAACATTATAAATAAACAAGAATAATAACTTACTTCCTCGACAAAGCAAAAGGTCGTAAAAATTCCAATTCCTTAAAATATTTCCATTTGACATTAGCTTTGATATTAAATTTGCTGCGTTTTAGCTCACGACAATATTGGTCACGCATGGCTTTCCATTTTGATTTACATTGTGCATCTACATATAAATTTTATTATTGATATTAAATGACACATCCTTTGTTTGATAGATGCTTACCTGTCCAACCGACAGTGTCTGCAATCTCCAACCATTTAGAATCTTTACGATGTGTGTTACGATAGAACTCATGCTTAGGATTATAAAGAGCTTGCTCTTGCGATACCAGCGATATAAGCATAACCTCTTTGGGTATAGAAACAACATCTTCGTTTAATCCATGGGTGATACTCGCCATGTTACCTAAATTTATTAATTGCTGCTGCTGTTGATTCAAATGGTTTCCTTGCTCCTCTAAAGTTGGTGAATGTCCATCCTGATAGACTTGCATATGCATTGTTGTAGTGCTACCTGTTTCAGTCAATGTCAGAGTCGGCATCTTTACACACTTATATTACTATGGTTCGCCTTTATTTACTGCATATTTTTTTCTAATTAATTGTATTATTCTACTTTAGCTATTTCTTTATTATGATAAATATTATTTTTGGCTTAAATAGTCAAGCAAAAAAAAACTAAGAAAAACAAATTTTCCACTTTCTGTGGATATGCAAAACGAAATGTCAAAAACGACTGATTCCATGAACTGTCAAAACCATAATGGTCAATTCACATACAACTTTCCTCGCTTTGCTTGACAATGCGTACTTCACCAACGAAGAACGAAAAAAACAAAGGTTGCGTCATGTTTCTCTCTAATAGAAATGGCGGCTGTTATTTGGCAAAGTATATAAAGATGAGGGTTCCTCACTATTTTGCTTTGCTTTGCTGCGCTTCGTTTCGATGTGATCGATTTAAACAACAGCATACATCGAACTTTTCTGTCAAAACAAATGTCTGAAGCCAAGCGATGCATAAGTTTTATGTGAAACAGCCATATAAGCCCATTCACATGTAACTTTCTTCGCTTTGCATAACAGTTCATACCATAACAATGAATCGTAGAAACAAACGGTATACCACAATGTCCGCATTGTTTTCAGTGTTTCTCTCTTTTAATAATTCGGACTGTTGCTTGGCTTCGCGTCAAAAACTTGTTTTGTTAACGTACTCATACAAAAGTGTACTTCAAAATTTTCTTTCAAAACAAATGTCTGACGCAATTGTAGCCAAAGCTTAAAGTTGAGGTTGGCAATATTGTCGCATGGCATTTGCTTTCATGAAATATCGTTCTTAAAATGTCGTCAGGTATGTAAGAGTGTACGGGCTAGTGTAAAAACATACAAGGAACCAAAAAATTAGCTGTTTTCCTATGTGTGTGACACAGCTGAGATCACATGATCGTATCTGCCTTTTTTAGATACAGAGATGTAAAAAGAATGTAGTTTAACAACTTATTTATGTACATGTATTTGTACTGGAGAAAATTAATAAAAACTTTCAAGAATATTTTCGAAGCAAAAGGTTACTTTATATTTATTGCTTTTCCTTACCATCTCTAAGGTTGCAATATAGGCGCGTTACCGATCTTGTTTGGGTGTTCGGTTCCCCAGGAGGCCTATATATATCCATCTAATATATACAGTTGTACAATCTACTTTTCGTAACATATATAACTCGAAAAGATATATACAAAAAAACAGGTACATGAATCAAGCTCATGAATATGAATTACAATACATTAAAAATATAAGTTGAAAATTTCAACTTGATTTAAACAATCAGGTTCAATTCAATTGTATTCACGAACAAATATAAGTGAAAACAATCTACTTGTATTAATTTTAACAAAAACAGAAATAATAGAATAAAAAATGAAGTACAATTCAGGAACAACCATAATATTTGCAAAATATTCTAAATCACCCACAGCGATATACTTATTAAATTTAAATTCAATCTTTAGGAATCTTAATAATCGAAAACTATTTGAATATGTAATAAAAAGATTCTTAAATTTATAAATTTTAGAACATAACACGGCAACACATTGTAGCAGATTTGAGTCAATTGGTCGTTTATATAGAATATATCAATGGCAACCCGTTCCAAGTGTGATTTTTGTAGTAAAAAATAATTAGGTAACCCTACCAAGTGTGATTTAGTAGTACAATTTTTTAGGCAACCCGAACCAAGAGGGCAATTTTTGCGTATGATTAGTGAAAATCTTAAAAACTTGCAGTTTATGCAAAAGAACATAACACATTAGCATTTCATCTTTGCTGGCTTCATGTCATTGTATAAATCTACGAGTAACCAATCCTAAGATTTTCACTTATACTCACGCAAAAATGTCCCACTTGGTACGGGTTGCCTCGGAAATTCTACTACTAAAATCACAAATGGTACGGGTAGGCATACTTATATTCCACTATTAAAGACACACTTGGTACGAGTTGCCGACCAATAATACAAATCAGCTATAGTGTGTTGCCGTGTTATGTTTTAAAATTTATAACTTTAAGAATGATTTTATTACATATTCAAATATTTTTCATTATTTTTCCTGAATTGTACCTGATTTTTATATATTTATTTTCGTTTTTGTTTAAATCAAGTTGAATATTTCAACTCATATTGTTAATGTAGTTAATACAATATTCATGAACCTGATTCATGTAACTGATTTTATGTATATATCTTGTCGAGTTATAATTGTTATGAAAAGTAGGTTGTTTTAGAACTGTGTATATTATATGGGTGAAGAAAAAAGATCGGTAAAGCGCCTATATTGCAACCTCAGAGGTGGTGAGGAAAAACAATAAATATATAGCAATCTTTTGTTTCGAAAATATTCTTGAAAGTTTTCATTAATATTCTCCATTAGAATACATGTTGTTAAACTACAATACATCTTTTCATTTACATCTCTGTGTTAAAAAAAGGCAATTCGAACAGGTGATCACGGCTGTTTCACACACATAGGAAAACAGTTGATTCTTTGGTTACTTGCAAGCTTATACAATGCATCATTACACCGAAACTTTGTATGACAATGTTGCCTCTTCAAAATTTGTATGCAAAAGATAACAGCTCTGTCAAACCACAAAAATTACAGTTTATTGTTAGCAATGTATGGCATGTAATGTATTTAGCATCGTAAAGGGGTATAAGGGTACCTTAAAGAATGATATTAGCCAAACATTAGCAATGCTCAGTCTCTATCGGCAATATTGCTAGCAATTCCGATTTTTAACAATCTTTAATTACCTGTCGATATGCCCCGTAATGGTTGTAAAGCTGCTTTTAAGAGCTGTGTAAATTGCGTTTCACATGAATATGGGGAACATGAATGCCAGAACAAAATTGAATCGACGATAAATAGCTAGAATCGACCAGACAGCAAAATTCGTAATTACCAAAATGTCCTACACAAGTGTTGCCAGAGTTCTAATTAGAGTACTGCGTTTACATGGGGATTCTTTACACCCTCAATATCAGCAAATTCTCTCTTGGTGTCGTTCTGTGCATTCGCACAGTGCACGTGCAAAAAGAGTTCAGCAACTCAAATCGAATATTTCTATCGTTCCTTTTAAAAAATTTTCGCAAATGTTTGTGCGGTTCGGCTTGTGCATATATCATTTATGTTGGGATGATGGTCTAACATTTGGTTGCAATGAATTACCATGAATGTGGTAGAACAATATGCATAATACCTACCCGCTTAATAGTTTCAAAGAAATACTTAAGTCGGGACTTCCCTAATCCACCCGAATGTATTAAATATTCGCTAAGGTCAAATTTATAAAAGGGATTTTCTAATCTTTAAGCATTAAAAATCCATAATTTTTATACTCTCGCAACCTGTTGCTACAGAGTATAATACTTTTGTTCACCTAACGGTTGTTTGTATCACCTTAAACTAATCGAGTTAGATATAGGGTTATATATATATAACTGACCAGGATGAAGAGACGAGTTGAAATCCGGGTGACTGTCTGTCCGTCCGTCCATCTGTCCGTCAGTGCAAGCTGTAACTTGAGTAAAAATTGAGATATCTTTATGAAACTTGGTAGACATGTTTCTTGGTACTGTGAGACGGTTGGTATTGCAGATGGGCGTAATCGGACCACTGCCACGCCCACAAAACGAAATTAATTAAAAACAAATAAATTGCCATAACTAAGCTCCGCAATAAGATATAAGACTGTTATTTGGTACACAGGATCACATTATGGAGGGGCATCTGCAGTTAAACTTTTTTTTTTAAAGTGGGAGTGGTCCCGCCTCTAATAAGTTTAATGTGCATATCTCCTAAACCGCTAATGCTATAATAACAAAATTCACTGGAAGCAAAGCAGTTGGGTTACATAAGAGTCTGTGTATGAACTGGTAGACTGTTTATCGAGAAATTCAAATAAATAAAAAGTACTGTCCAAAAGTTATATATACAGGTTGGTTGAAACGTTTCTGATCTCACCAAGAAATAGCACTGCTAGCTCTAATTTTTTTTCTCAAGTTGGTACATCTGTCGTGAGAACACATTCCAAGTTACAAGTCATTCTGTAAACTAATTATTTGTTTACAAGCCGTTTGAAGTTAAATTGTCTGATAATTTTTTTTTTAATATGGAAAAAACTTGAATATCGCCCAGTGATTAGATTCTTTGTTTTAAAAGGTTTATGGCACAAACAGTCACCGACGCAAAACCGTGGATCAAATTAGCTGATACGACCCATCTTATGAGAGCGCAATGTAAATGAACAGTTACCACCTCTTCAGCCGTCCGCTTCAACAAACCGTACGGTAGAGAGAGAGAGAGAGCAATCTCTTGCAACGCAGGGTTGTCAATCTCGATATTTTGTAGTAGTTAAAAAATGAACTTGATTATATTTGAAATATTAATCCAATAACTTAAAATCACAGTCAACTACACTTATTTATAAATAGGCAAACTATTTTAAATAGTTGGATTTTAGTTTTGAGCTTTTACATTATGAAAAATTATAACAAAAAAACTAAATGTGTGAAAAATCGTGTATACAAATAGAACAACATTGGTGAAATGAAAACAAAAAAGAGAACAACTGATTTCTGCGTTGCAACTACGGGCATAACTTTTGACAAATTTGGTTTGATACGGGCGGTAAGTACGAAAGAAAGGAATGTCGGTGACTGTTTGTGTTATTAAAAGCGAAGGAAATTTATGAACAATTGTTAGAAGTGTATAAAAAGTCCTTACCTTCAAAACGCACCGTTGAATTTTGGTCTGGTGAATTTAAACGTGGTCAAACTAGGCTTGAAGACGATCCACGCGAAGGACAACCAAAAACCGCAACCACACCAGAAATCATTGAGCAAGTTCATAATACTGTTAGTAAATATCCAATTTTGAATAAGTGTGAAATTGCTAATGCCATAGGCATCTCAGATGAACGAGTACTTTATAATTTATATGAAGAATATAAGCTGTATATAAAGTTAGTGCCGAACACGTTAATAATTCAACATAAACTGTATCGAAAACATATTTCTCAGCATAATTTGGAGCGTTTTAAGCAGAATAAAACCGATTTATTGTGTCGTTTTATATTATGAGACTTGGATCTACCACTATGATCCTAAATTGAAACAAGAACGTTTACAGTGGACTGAAGCTGGTTGTTCAGCTTCAAAGCAGGTGAAGGCATCAGTTTGTTGTGATGCAAAAATAATTTTGTCGAATGATTGTCTGCAGAAAGGTAAAACAATCAACTTTGAATATTATTGCAACGTTTTGGATCAGCTGCATAAAAAAACTTGTGAGAAAAGGACTGGTTTGCAGCACAAAAAAATAATTTTTCATCAAGACAATGCACCTGCTCACAAAGGTGTTTAAACAATGATAAAATTCAACACTTAATGTTCTGTTCTGTATTTTAAAAAATCTATCACAGGGAAACTATCAACATTTTTATACTCTCGCAACCTGTTGCTACAGAGTATAATAGTTTTGTTCACCTAACGGTTGTTTGTATCACCTAAAATTAATCGAGTTAGATATAGGGTTATATATATATAAATGATCAGGATGAAGAGACGAGTTGAAATCCGGGTGACTGTCTGTCCGTCCATCCGTCTGTCCGTCCGTCCGTGCAAGCTCTAACTTGAGTAAAAATTGAGATATCTTTATGAAACTTGGTAGACATGTTTCATGGTACCGTGAGACGGTTGGTATTGCAGATGGGCGTAATCGGACCACTGCCACGCCCACAAAACGCCATTAATCAAAAACAAATAACTTGCCATAACTAAGCTCCGCAATAAGATACAAGACTGTTATTTGGTACACAGGATCACATTAGGGAGGGGCATCTGCAGTTAAAATTTTTTTTTTAAAGTGGGCGTGGTCCCGCCTCTACTAGGTTTAATGTGCATATCTCCTAAACCGCTAATGCTATAATAAAAAAATTCACTAGAAGCAAATGTTTTTAGCACTTCTATTGACGGTGTGAAAATAGTTGAAATCGGGTGGCAACTCCGCCCACTCCCCATATAACGGTACTGTTAAAAACTACTAAAACCGCGATAAATCAAGCACTAAACACGCCAGAGACATTAAATTTTATCTCTGAGATGGTATAAATTGGCTTTATAGGAGCCGCGTTCAAAATTAGTCAGTGGGCGTGGCACAGCCCACTTTTAGGTGAAAACCCATATCTTGAGATCTGCTCAACCGATTTCAACCAAATTCGGTGCATAACGTTCTTTTCATGTTTCTATGTCATAGTGCGAAAATGGGCGAAATCGGACTACAACCACGCTTACTTCCCATGTAACACCATTTTCAATTCCATCTGATTCTTTCACTTTCCACTATGCAAATCAGGTAACAATGATTATATCGGGGTAAAACTTTGCGTGAATAATGCAATTAAAGTATGCCACCAAAAATTGTCTAAATCGAACCAAAACTGTTCAAACCCCTAAGTACTAAATATATGGACCCCATTGCCTATAGTTGACCTTCTACCGAAAATATCAGTCAATCCACAAAGAAATCTCAAACGAGCATTTGACTTTGCGAGAGTATAAAATGTTCGGTTACATCCGAACTTAGCCCTTCCTTACTTGTTATTTATTATTTTTGAAGCACATTTTCGAAGACTCATTAAATATCTGTCTTCCTCAAACAGGAAATGATAGAGTGTCACCTCCTATGAAAGGATAGCACAATTTAGTGCCCGCGGTAATTTTGCAAACGTAAGCATTACCATTGATTGCGTTATTTAATGGTTTCGAGAAAAATACAGGCAAAGAGCGTTGCTGAAGTGCCTAATTTTGTTTCTTTTGCTTTTCGATGCTGGTCATGAGAAAAGTACCTTTCGAATTCGGTTTGCGCATGCACTCTCGCCCTATATTTCCCACTAAAATTGCAATCCAATTAGTTAATTGCATTAATGTTTTGGTTTTTTCTAACGGCGCATTATCATAACAGTAAAAAATTTTCAAAAAGTTTTCGCAGAACAGTTGGCATGCAGACGTTGACTTTGAATCGGTAGTGGCAGTCGGTAAAGAGTGTTAAGTGTAAACAAGTTTATTTCATTTTCAATTATATTAAACACATACATTTATTATACAAAAAATTAAAGTTAAAACAAAAAATAAATAAATATAAAAAAATCAAATAACTCAAAATGCCTAAAATTGATCCTGAAACTCAAAAACTTCACGATGAGATTAATGGAATGATTCAAAAGTTCAAGGTAGACCTTGAAGTTAATAAATTGCATAAAATAACACATTACGAACATATTTAATTATATATTAAAATATTGAATTGTATAATAATATTAATTATCATAAATTTCATAATTACAATATACAGGGTGTGTATTTATTAAATAAAAGAATTGAGCTAATTGCATTTACTTTCTCTAGGACGATCAAAAAGCCAAAGCTGACTGTACATGGCAGGAAAAATGTGGCGATATGGGTGATGTACCTAAACTACGACTCAGTTCGAAGAAGATTTTGAAGGGTCACATAAACAAAGTCAACTCTGTACACTTTGCTGGCGATTCTAGACACTGCGTCACTGGCTCGTTAGATGGAAAATTAATCATTTGGGATACATGGACGGCAAACAAAGTTCAGGTACAAAATGCAACTCCTTGATTACTTAACTTATGTATGTTATTTTTTCGAAATCGATTTTCTTTTCCTAGGTAATTCCTCTGCGTTCGGCTTGGGTTATGACAGTCGCTTTTTCTCCGTCGGGCAACTTTGTCGCCTGCGGTGGTATGGATAATCAGTGCACAGTTTATGATGTTAATAATCGAGATGCTTCGGGTGTCGCTAAAATGACTCGAGAGCTTCTGGGTTACGAAGGTTTTTTGAGTTCATGTCGATTCTTAGACGACGGACATTTAATAACAGGCTCTGGTGATATGAAAATGTAATATAATTGATTGCAATTTAAGACGGCGCGGTGTCTAAAATTAATACATTTGCAGTTGTCATTGGGACTTGGAGAAGGGTGTGAAAACAATGGATTTTAACGGGCATGCTGGTGATATTGCTGGTTTAAGCCTTTCGCCAGATATGAATACGTATATAACAGGTTCCGTAGACAAGACAGCCAAACTGTGGGATGTACGTGAAGATACATACAAGCAGATGTTTTTCGGTCACGAAATGGACGTGAATTCTGTCTGCGTAAGTAATTTATATATATGTTCTATTCCATATTTCATTACTATACAGAGTTGACACATTCCATTCACATTTTCATTTAGTATCATCCAAGTGGTTTTGGGTTCGCCTCTTGCTCTGAGGACCAAACAGCGCGTCTTTACGATATACGATCTGATCAGCAAATAGCTCACTACGAGCCACCTCAAAAAAACACGGGCTTCACTTCGTGCGGTACATGATCAAATTCTTTTTGTCTCCTTAAGATTTTTTTGTTTTATAAGTATGTATTATGTTTGTTTAGCTCTATCTACCAGTGGTCGCTATTTGTTGTGTTCTGGAATTGAGGGAAATATTCATGCTTGGGATACAGTTAAAGTCTCACACAATGGTAAACCAGGACATTGAATTCCGCTATCACTTCTTGATAAAAATGTATTTATTTTAATAATTTCCAGCAATACTACAAGGCCATGAAAATCGCATCACATGCATTGGCCTCTCACCGAATGGTATGTGCCTTGCATCTACTAGCTGGGATCAGCAAGTGCGCCTTTGGCTTTAAATTCGATTTATTAACGGAATTTTTTCTCAAGCGGAATATATTCGTCAGGCAGACTGTGCAAATTTTTCAGATTAATATGTAAATGCTCAGCAAATAGCTAAAGTTTAAAATAAATACTATAAAAAAGCGCGTTTATCATGTAGTTTTATATGTATTATTTATTTCTTTTATCTAAGTTCCATAGATATTTTAATATTTTCATCAAAATACTATCAAACAGATATTATTTAAATACGTTTAAACAGAAATGCATAGAGACTTTATACCAAAATTGCACGCTACAATTAGACACCTTGACCCCCATTGAATTTAATACCTCTTTATGAAACTAGTACATGGCCATAAGCTGCTTCAAGTCCCGGTTATAATGTTGATTCGTCCAATCGTTCGCTGGATTATCTAAATGATTATCGAAATCCATCACTTCACGCATAGCTCCACGCTGTAACAACTCGGATACGGTTTGTAATGTTATCTTCTGCTGAGATAGTGTGTAGTTTGCCTTTGACCAACGTGCAGACTCTCCGCTACTACTAAACACTTTTAATGCTGATTGTGTATGATTCAAGCGCATTAACTTATTATCCACTACTATGAAGCAAGCATTTTTGTTAGTTTCAAGAATTTTGTCACCGATTTTCGCCGCGGGTGCCTTTTCTACGCTGCTGTCGTACAAGTTTTCTGGAGCTACATAGTAGCCGGCTACAATCAAATTTTCGCGTTCGGCGAATGCGTCAACCTTTGCAATAAAAAAAATAAACGAAAGTTATTAATAATTATTAACGAGAAGTAGCAGGTGTTCCTATACAACATGTAATAGATTTTCATTTCTAAATCAAAGTCTCTTAAGTCTAAGATGAAGCACACTGCTGCGTTTTTAAAATGTTTGAATTATTTATTATCTTAATGCAGTTGTAATTTATACTAATTGTATACCTGTGTAAGCGCAATCTCTGCCATTGGTGTAACATAAAGACATTGATGAAACAATGGTATAGCGTCGACTATTTGCACTGTGTTGCCTTTCGGTGATTTTTCACTTAAAAGAACTCCATTAACGGCCAAGTGTGGATATTTGGCAGCATGGAAAATTATTTTGGCATAAGCACGTTCATTGAATTGATAGTCAGTCATATTGCTACAATGTGAGCGATTATATTTATTTCAACAAAAGCAAAAAACACAGAAAATCCGAGGAAAAACACGTACGAATCTTCTAATGGGAAAGACAGCTAATAAAATAAATTTATGCTGTCAAACCCAGCTGTCACGGCTTCAAAATGCGTTTGGCAATAGAAGTAAATAAAATACTTCTTTATGAATGCGCCACGGAAGTGTTGCCAGACGATAAGGTGACCAAAAGGCCGAAATCATAATTAAATTAATTTTATTTTTTTACACTAACTTTGTCATCAGGAATAGTTTAAGGGGTAGTAATAAAACGGAGTTGGGTTATCGATAGTTTTGCCGCTCTACATCTAATGGTAGGTCAAGGAAACTTGCTGTTTCGCTGGGGTCGGACCATAGGAAGAAAGATGATAGATGAGTGTGGTTCGTTGGGCATGCAAAGAGGTGGTTAGTGTCATGCGGGGATTCCTGCGAATGGCAGGCACCGTGACGTGGTACAGGGGCTTAAACGTAACGACTTCCTGTCCTTCTCAACAGGTGTGAAGGGTTTCGTACAGCACTTCTCATACAGGTTGCCAGGGGTTGCAAGCGTACGATGACCAAGAGCTGCCACCTTCTTATCCAGGGTATCATGCGATTCCCGCGCACATTGGACAATTTACAGCCAGAGGTAAATTCGGTTGTATTTTAACGGAGCCTTCCCAACACCGGGCCGCCTTGGGAAGTAACTGTGGTCTTACCGCGTCAATGCGCTCTGGTGTGGGGGACCTCACGTTTCCTCTTAAATAAAATAGATCCGAAAGCTCACCTTATTAAAGAATAACAACATACAATAAATGCATATAGGCCCAGTGCAGTGAAATAAAAGTATACATTGATATAAAAACAAAATATATATATACTTATATACAAATATATAAATGAAAAATGTAGAGAACACACAAAACTCACCAAAGTTACAGTGCTAATATACATTATATATCAACAAACAAATAAGCATTTTAAACAAACAAAAATCCACACAACCGGGCGCGAAACCTAAGCACAAAACATAAATATGAAGAAACGGACGCGAATTTTCAAACAAAAAACAACAATACAACATACCTGCAAGCAGCTAGAGAGGAAGCATAGGAATTGGCACAAAACCCACAGGCATATATTATATATGTACAAACCTTATGCCCTACAAAGTGAGCGTATTTATTTCATTTACTTATCGTATTTTATGCGCATATGTATGTAAAGATTGCAGTTTTATATATATATTATTATTTCCCAATTAATAGCTTACCTTCGTGTATTCAAACACATCATCAAGAAACAAGAAACCAATTCAAGTATATACTTGCACATTAATCCAGCAATACCCCTTATGCTTAATAAAGCAATAAGCAGGATTGCATTCAATAAGTAAGCAAAGGCAAAATATCAAACCTAAAACAAACAGAGAAAGAAATAAAAACACAACAAACCAACATACATATATGCATATCGAATTAACGCTTACATATTACATCTATATATACCGATAAATATATATTTTTATTAAACATATATATATATATATATATATATATACAAAAATATATTTACAAAGTATATAAGGGATAATACCTGCATATTATTCACTTCGCTTTCGCGCTCTCTTCGCTGTGCGAGCCTACATACATACGTATATATACACATTTATATACACAAACGGCGATTAATATATCTGTAACTTTATACCCTACTTTGGGACCTAATAAAGTTATTTAATATCCATTTAAAAAAAGAAACAATTATCATAAATTTCGAATATTTTCAAACGGCGATAAAACAAATATATGATAAACGAATTTATTAAAAATTAAAATTATTAAAAACAAAATACAAAAAAAAACATTTTTTCCGTATGTTACATATAGGTATATTTACAATTTTACATAGGCAATTATCCGGCAATACCCCTTGTAACAAACAAGCAGGATTGCATACAAAAAAAAAACACATTGATCTCTTCAACGAGCTCTCAATTGCATTAGAAAATAAACATACATACGCACAAACAATCCGTGCATACTTATGTACAAAGTGTATTGATCTCTTCAACGAGCTCTCAATTTCACGAGCAGATAAATATATAATAACAAGTCCGTGTATTAGGGTGTACCTAAATACATCAACATAAGGACATAATAAGTATTATTAAATTAAAAGTGCCATTCTTAATAACTAAATTAAGAAAATTTAAATTACGCTCACAAATATATATTTAAAATAAAATACAAATTAAAAAATTATTTCGCAAGTAAATATTTATCTAGTCCGAAAAAAATCGTATATACAATACGTAAAATAGTATTCGGTATTAATTATCATTTATTGCTGCATTTAAATCAGTTTACACTTTACTGAGAAAATTTTAATTAACTTTGACACATATAGTAATAAATAACAAAACAAAAATGGTTAATGACGATAAAAATCAAATTACACCTGCAACCAGCTACACGCGCAAGACAGGTTACCACAAAGCAAATAAAAGGCAAAAATATTTGTGTTGCCAAATTCATTTCCGAGAGTGACAGATTAACACGATACTGCACTCGATTTTCATCTTCACCGATTCAAGATATCTCTGAGTCGTTATTAGAAATAAAAAAACAAAATATTGACAATTTTTGGACTCGTCTCCAAACGGCTCATGACGCCATAGTAGATTATGAGAATTCAGATCTACCACACGATTTTAAATCATCGGCTTACGCACTATACGAAAACTGCTTAGACCAGTACGAAGAAACTAAAGCTATGATTTCTGATCAATTAAAGCTAATAAAAGCGATTGCATCTACTCCACATCCGAGAGTAGAGCTGCCACAAATTCAAAGTCAAGAGGCAAGTTCAGGCATCCATCTCGAGATGCCCGCATGTGACACAGAAATATTTTATGGAGGTTATGAAGAATGGCCGTCCTTCCGGGACATGTTCACTGCCGTTTACATCAACCATCCAAAATTATCAAAAGCGCAAAAATTGTATCACCTCCGATACAAAACTAAAGGTCAAGCAGGCGCAATAGTAAAACAATTCGCACTAAATGATGACAATTTAAATTTGGCTTGGGAAGCTCTAACATCTAGATATGAAAATGAAAGAATATTGGTCGATAAACAAGTAACGACACTAATAAACTTGCCTAAAATTAAAAAAGAAACAAGTAAAGAATTTGTTAAACTACTATCCACTGTTTCAAATTGTTTGTCGGTTCTATCGACACAAAATATTCCCACAGACAGCTGGGACCCAATACTGGTAAATATATGCACCGCCACTTTACCAGAAAAATCGTTACTTTTGTGGGAGCAATCGCTCTCATCACGAAAGAAATGCCCAACGTGGCAACAAATGAAAGATTTTCTAACTATCCAGTATGAAATCGCTGAAAGGGTAGACACAAAAATTATTAAAACCCAAAACTATCAAAACGACCTTAATAGAAGCTTCAATAGACCCCAAGCTAGTAGCAAAAACAAATTAAATAGAAGCTTATACAAAACGCAATCGTTCACATCCGAACAGAATAATCATACGTCATGCGAACTATGCACAAGAGGGCATAAACTACAATCATGCGAGAAGTTTAAAAACTTAACTTTAACGAACGAAATAATTTTGTCAGATCAAAAAGACTTTGTACAAATTGCTTGTCACATGCGCATAAGTATAAAAATTGCAAAAGCAAATTCAATTGCTTATATTGTCACAAAAGACACCACTCAATGCTTCATTACAGCAAATTTCCCATATCACCCCAAAGAAGCGCTTATACAAAAAGAACCACAGGTTTAGTTGTAACAACAACTCCTAAAATCCAAAATGCCGAAAATTGCTAAAAGCCACCATGTTGCTCAAAGGCACAAAAAACTCAAACGCTACACAGCGAAATACAAAATAGGGTATTACTACCCACAGCAATCATCTCCATCGAACACCGAGGAGAGCTGTTTAAACTTAGGGCCTTAATAGACCAAGGATCACAACGATCTTTCATAGCGTCTAGGGCACAAAATAGGCTACAACTGCCAACAAAACAAGCCAACTTTGAAATTACAGGAATGGGTGGAAGAGTAATCCAAAACTCAAATAAAATCTGCCCCATTACCCTAATTTCCCCCCAAGAGGATAAGATAATTAAAGCAGAAGCTGTAGTCTTACCGCAACTAAGAAATATGCTTCCAAGCTATCAAATAAATAGCAAGCATTGGCAAAAGGTTTCACACCTAAAGCTAGCAGATCCCAACTGCAACACCCCCGCTCAAATAGGCATTCTATTAGGCAGCGATCTCATACCTCAGATAATACTCGAGGGTGTTGAGAAAATTTCAAACAAACTATTGGCACAAAATACTATTTTTGGGTGGATCCTAAGTGGACTAGTTTCGGAACCAGTTACCACCATGACCACTCAGGTTGAGGAAATCTCAAACGAATACCTCAATTCACAATTGATAAAATTTTGGGAGTTATAAGAACTCCCCCCCATATCAATCACAACCCCTAAAGATCAGTATTGTAAAGACTTCTACAAAGCCACAACTACTCGATCAAATAATGGCCGGTACGTCGTACGACTACCACCAAAGCCACATACTTCCAACACTCTACAAATTGGCACAAAAAACCATGTAAGAGTTTGTTCTGACAACCCCAGTGCTAAAAGCACAAATATCTATAATTCAACCAAATCATCGAGATTTATCGAAAAGAAAATTTGTTGTACACTAATTTCCTTAAATTTGAAAAGGGCAGTACAACATAAAAATACAGGGGATCCAATGGAATGCGATATCTGATCAGCTTTCATATCCTACTGAATCAATATCCGCATTATCCGCAATAGCATTTTTGACCCCGCAGGATGGCTTTCGCCAATTATGATACAAGCGAAAATCCTAATTCTTCTTCACTTAGAAAAATGGTCACAATCCTCAAACAATCTTAACGATATCAGAATCTACCGATTCTTGGCCACAATCGCCCACTTCCATACATAATATCGTCCGCAACATACGAGTAATTGTCATAGAATGTCCAAAAATCGACACTTCTCTTAATATAGTGCCTCATAGTTGCCTAAATTTTCATAATCAAATACAATTCAAAATTAAAGTTAAGGAATCACCATACTTGCAATGTGATACAGTGAAGCACCCAGACTTACAAAAAGCAAAGATCGCACTTATCGCATCTATCTAAGCGCTCATCATACGGGTAGTTTATGGAAAACACTTGTAAAAGTTGTAAATCTCACTTCAAAAAAGTGAGCGAAAATCACAAATCTCACTCTCGCAAGATCCCTCTTCAAATGTTTTCAAAGGAGCACCCATTCTGGCCATATCTGAGCCAGGCGTGGAGTCGCTATCCTTACTAAGTCATTATAAATAAATGGTAAATAACCGCCAATAAAAATTATAAACACAAAAACTCATATACTTTTACTATAATAACAAGTCGTCAAAATAGTGAATCAAATAAACACGCAAAATAAATTTGCTTACATTAAGCGCCCTCGGCTACTCTACCAGCAGCACGCCGAAATACTTCCAACATTTACAGCCAATATGGGTAATACTAGGCAAAATATTCGCCTAGGGGGCCCAGGATGTTTAAATGAGATAAGACTCCCCTACACATACACGCCACTCTACTCGGCAAGAACTGGCGCACCCTAGTATAACCCACTACAATACACCACACTCATATATCACCACACGGGACAACTCAACACACCACAGCATCGCGCCCTTCAGCAAAC